GGAAATCCGCCGGAAATCCGCCGGAAATCTAACCGGTTTAAATTTTCCGGCGGATTTCCGGCGGTTGTCCGGCGGAAGTCAACAAAATTTGACTTTTTAAAGTTCCGCCGGAAATCCGCCGGAAATCCGCCGGAAAATTTCCGGCGGAATTTGTCCGCCGGAAATTCCGCCGGAAATGCCCAGTTTTCTAGTAGTGTTAGCAAGAAACACGTATTAACATACACATATTATATATACACATATTATATATGCACATATACGTATAGTTATGCACATATATGTATACAATAAGTAATAAACAAAAAGCCCCTTAAACATTTTAGACATCCCAAAAATCTAATTTTCTTGTAATAAAACAGTTGCAAATTAATTAAGTATATACAATACCCTCGTTGTTCTTAGGAGATTTAGATAGAAAAATATTCTATTTGAAAACTAAATGAAAGTACTACGAGTATTACGGTTATAATATATTTATTTATAATTATTTTTTTTGTTAACCTCTTGGATATCCAACCCGTTATACGAGACGACTAATCAAATGGCGACCACCTGCTTTGCGGGTAGTCCGAAGTCACTGCATTTAAACCTCCGTGGCTACAAGGGAATTTTTTATTCCTTCTTAGATTTGAACTTGAGATTTCCTGACACTTTTGACCTTGGAAGCCCAAGCTCAACCCAATTAGTCACCACCGTTAGTGGTTTATTTATGATTATTTGGAATAGATAGCATATGTAAAACTAAACTATTTCTCCTTTGCTTCAAAGAGTTTATTTTCATGAGAAAAATATGAGTTTATTTTCATTAGAAAAAGATGAGGATAATGAAAAATAATAAATAATATAGTAAATTACAATTTTAGTCCCCATAATTTGAGAAATATTACAATTTTTGTTCCTATGGTTTTGAAATTATGATTTTCGTCCCTATAATTTATATTTTATTGTTGTTTTCTTCCCTAAGACTAAATATGTTAAAACCCATTCATAAATTTAGAGGGTTTTTTTAATTTTTTTTCTTTTTTGGTTTATTAAATACTTTTTTTCTTTCCGTTTTGGTATTTTTGTCTTTTTTGACATAACAAAATTATGTATTTTTTGATAAAAAAAATTATATCATTTTGTTATTGCTGCATGTTCATGGCGGCTTGAAAAATCCAAACATCTCAGATATAGATAAAGATGTATGAATTTATCCGCACTATTTTTTAAAACAATTAGTTTTTTTCAATATTTTTTGTCATTATATTTTTACTTTCTTATGAGTTCGATTTCTACAACT